GCTGCCACAGCGACTTGTGCAAGGAGGTCTGCAGATGAGCCCGGAGGACGCAGTGGGCAAGAGAGGAGGAGTTAGCATAGCGATAGGTTAGAGGCAGCCATAGCTGCCATAGCTGTAGTTAGTAGTGAGTGTGTGTGTGTGTGCACGAGTGTTAGAGTGATGCGTGTTGGATATCCAGGGTGATCCAGTGTATGTGAACAGTGAGATGTTTGGGCGCTGAAGTCGCCATAGCCAATTGAGAGTGAACTCGTATCTGAAGCCATATCTCTGAGTTTTGAGTGGGCGCATGTCGCCAGTATGCTGCGTTACTGTTTACATGCATGAAAAGTGTGTTTGAGAATGAGTCTGATTGCAATGCCTGCATTGTTGTCAATAATGGCAATTACGAAATTATGATCATTTTCTGCTTCATGTCGCATCAAATCGGTTCTTTAAACTTCTTTTACTTCATTGCTGCTTGAATTGCTGATGAGGCACCGTTGGTTGTGGCAGCATCAAAGCGGTGATATTTCTTCGTTGCTGCCTGCAGTGTTGTCAATAATGATAAGTACAAAATTATTGCAATGAACCCAGGAGGAAAGCTCAACAATGTCGAAGTACAGAATGTCTCAGCGCAGTTTCAATGTCATCAATCATACATGTAATCAAGAGTCCAATGTCAAGTAACCAGAGAAGAGAGTGATGAGAGGGAGATTAGACTGAGAGGGTGGAAGAGAAGTAACCATCAGCTTCAGCAGATAATCTCCCTCTTGGCCCACTCCTCCTTCGGGCATCTCCTACTCGCCACATTAACACACGCTGACATCGAACAGATCTCAACATGGCGCACACAGCGCAGTGCAATGACTTGCTGGTTCCAGGTTGCCTGTAGCCTCTCTCTGACGAGGCTGTACCCTAGGTAGGGACAGATTTGTAATTTTGTTTGGCTGAGAGCTAACCGAGAGACCTACCTGTAAGGAAAATTCGTGAGGGACATATTTGTAAATATAGGAAATATGGGCCCGGTACTAACTCAAATTTCCTACAGCTACCCTAACTGCAAATAGCAGACCCGGGCTACCCTTAGGACAGACAGGCCCAATGGGCCTACACTGATAGATGGTCCTATAGCCTATAGCCGGGTAGGGAGAGGCCGTAGAGGCCGAAACAGAAACGGTACCGGTCGGTCAGTCGATCCGGTCTAGGTCGTGTCCAGGCTAGTTTAGGGTATAGATAGGACGGGGACATCGGTCCTGGGCTTTTGGGGCAGTTAACACTTCGTGGTGGAAGTTGCTGTGCACACGGTATCAGGTCGTGGTTGCTGATTCCGGTGGTGGAGACGACAGACATAGCCAGACCTTCGGAGCGCTGACCAGACTGGGGTCAACGCTGTCCGCTCTGACTCTCTGGGAGACAAAGCGGTCTGGGCTATCAGAGGTCTGATGCGTTGGAGCACGTGGTGCACTGCTGACCCTCCTCAGGAGTAGGGTCCCAATGGTGATGCAGCCATAGCTGCATCTTCTCGGAGGATACCATCGTCTGGACTTCATCTTCATCAGGGACTGTTGGCGCTGAGCTTCTTCTTCATCATCTGGGTGGCGATTGGCTCTGGGAGCCTGTTTCATGTTGGTGCAGGCCAGTGAGTTGGATGTCAGGGTGGCGCTGGGTGTTACCTGGGGTTCTGGTGCTATTTTTAGCTGCTCGGTGTGTGTGGGGTTGGGGCGCTACCCCTCTGAGGGTAGCGCAGCAGGGTTCTGAGGTTATTCAGTGAAAACGATGCTCTGAGTTTAATAAACAGTTGTAATACTGTGTTCGAGTTGTCATCTCTTCATTGATTTCTGGTTGTGATTACTCGGCTGTCTTCTATGAATGATTGTTGGGACTTGTGTGGAGGGAATCCACTGTGTTGTGTATTCTGTCACTTCGCTCCGCTGAGTCTTCCGCTGCGTTCCTTTGTTGGGCGGTGTGACACTCCACTACATCTCCCCTTCCTTCTGTGCATGTATGGGCGTGTACAGGAGTTCCTGTGAGTGAGCATTGATAAAATTTCAACGGACAATCTTGTTCATAACAGTTGGTATCAGAGCAGATCGAACCTAGACAGTGGCGAGATGATGGATTGAGGCAACCATCACTACCTGAGAGTTGACGTTGGGTTTCATGGTGGAATCACATCTTCAGTACTGCGCTCAGTAGGGTGTTGGTGAGGAGCGTGTGGAGGTTGGTATGACACAGAGATTGGTGGCGATTTAGTGCTCAGTGGCCTGGGAGGCATTGAGGGGCTATTTTTAGCCCAGGCGTTGACTCTGCTAGTGGCGAGATACCTGTGGGTATGTCGAGTTTCAGATTCTGAGCTGGATTCAGTGAATCTGAGTAGTGGGGATTAATCGCCATATCGAAAGCTTTAGTATCACCAAGTTTCAGGAGATTTTGAACGTGGGAGCACCAGGAACAGTGAATGGAAGAAACTGGCGAGATGGCAGTCATAGCCAGTTCAGCTTCTTCTTCAAGTGTTTTGCCCTAAAGTAAGTGTGTTCCTTACTCAAGTCTCTGTGGCGAGTCTGATAGTGGCAGCCATAGCCAGTTCAGCCAAGTGTTTTTCCCTAAAGTAAGTGTGTTCCTTACTCAAGTCTATGTAGCGAGTCTGATAGTTATAATTAGACTGGGGGAAGTGAAATTATATGTCAGTAGTCAGTGACAGTTGGAAATCGCACTGCCTGACTGCCACATCTATTTCTCCTACCTATCTACTTTGACTTCTACTGACTTTGTTTGACCCCCTCTCTGTCTCAAATTGCATCTCTGACGGTTTTACAGTATTGCGATTCAGCCCACCCTGGGAATTGGATAATTCAGGGCCTATTAGTCAGTGATAATGGGACAGCTAGGGTTTGTCATATCTTAGGTTCTGTCCGTCAGAATTTCAGTCTGTCAGTCACCCTGAAATCGCAATTCAGTATTGAGTCAGTGTCTAAAAGTGTTATACTGGAATTGATGTTTTGAGTCAGATACAGTAATATTTGTACTTCACCTCACCCATGGTGGGGCATACAGGGTCCTACAGTGCCAGTGTCAGTGGTAGGAGTCTAAAAATAGCTTCATCAGTAATTCGCTGCATCTTGGTTGATTACTGGGTTGTGTCGATCGCTACTGACTCTCTGCATTATTCTAACCCTTCTACTTACAGTCCAAGGTCGCGTCCTGTCTAATTATCTGAGAACGATTCTAGGGTTATTGCACTCAAATGAGGGTCTGGGCTGTGAATGAAAAATCGCAAGTTGATTTTATCTGGGATTGCCCTAAACTGACCCAGAACAACCCTCAGCGGCCTACAGAGGCTGAGCGCTCTTCTGACTATCACACCACGTCTCTTTTCATCAGGTGGCAGTGATTGCATCTGTGTTTGTGGGTAATCTTAATCTCTGTTGACCTTGTCTCTGTGTGTCTCCATTTATCAGACTGTGTGAGTGATTAAGAAAGGCTGACGCTAAGACGAAGGTTGAGGAAGGGGAACCTTCTGCTCACCCTCCTCCACTTCCTCCCTCGCCCTTGGAGCAGGCCCTGCTTGAAGCGGAGGAAAACCGCAGAAAGGCAGAGGCCCATGTTCAACGGTTAAAAAGGGAGATGAAGGAAGTTGAGGAGGCCAGCCGGAAGGAGGACAGGAGACGAAAGTTACGTAAAGAGGTTAAGAAAGTTGTTACGAGTGATACTTCCAGTTAGTATAGTAAAGATACTGCTGAGTTGGTGCTGTTAACAGACACCCTCAACAGGTCTTACTTTTCTAATTGGGATCAACGGATTCTCGCTGTAGAGAATCAATGCTCTGCCATCGACGGCAAGGTCGATAAGTTGACAGCAAGCCTTGATTCCCTGACAGCAAGTGTCAACAAAATTTTGCAGCATCTGCAACTCCCTGTGTCTCCTCCCCAACCTCTTCAACCTGTCCCAACATCAGTTTCACCATCCCACAGTCGTCCAGCTTCCCCTGTTGGTTCCCATGTGTCCACTACCTCTGTTCCCTCTGGCACATCTGATCAGCGGCAGCCCAAGCTGACGCCACCTCCTATGTACTCTGGGGAAGACCCCAAGGTGGATGTTTCAGATTGGGTTACCGTTATGCAGGCGTACCTGGGCAGCTTCGTTTGTCCAGAGATGACAAAGGTAGGGACTATTCTGGGTCGTCTGGAGAGGACTGCACTTAAGTGGTGCACATCCTCTGCAGCGAAACAGAATCTGCCCATGGACAAATGGGCGCAGCAGTTGAAGGTGGCGGGGTTGCTGCAGGCCCTGCGAGACCGGTTTGCAGACATTAAACAAACCCGAAAAGCAGCTGATAAGATACTGCTGTTGGGTTCACGTAGGTTTGAGGGTTCCCTGTCCAAGCTCTACAGTCTGTTTGAGAGCTTGATTGCTACACCCGGTCTGGAGATGAGTGAGTCTGACCAGCTCACTCACTTCCTGCGCGCAGCGCCTCCAGACTACCCAATTGCTTTGTACTCTCAGGGCCACAAGGACTGGAGGTCCTTTGGCAAAGCGGCCCTGGACCTGGAGTCTCGGCTCAAGGTTCAGGAACCTTCTGATGGAAGGAGGAGGCCCTCTTCCAAGGGACAGCGTAGGAAGAAGGGTGCTCTGCTGGCTGCTGATGTAGGATCCGATTCTGATGCATCTCAGCGTGGCAGTCCTCCATCCGAGACTGCATCAGTATCAGCAGTGGAGCCAGTCGTTCTTGCCCTGGCTGAGAACCTTGCTGCCATGTTCGAAGTGAAGATGGGAAACAAGAGCAGCAAGAACTCAGCGAGTCAAAAGGGGAAAGGGAAGGGACGTGCCACTTCCCCTCAGGCCCAGAGACCTAACTTACCATGAGACGTCCATTGGCCAGTCAACCCCATGGATCCTTCCACCCTTCACTGGAGAGCGCTCAGGATCCGAGAGGGGCAATGGCAGAGGAGGAGGGACCGTGAGATTTGTTTTTGTTGCGAGGGGGACCACTTTCTGAAAGACTGCCCCCATATGCCTCACAAACCTGGTTCTAGTTAAAAAAACTAGACCAGCAGAGGGAAGTGGAGCTAGCAGCTCCCTCCACCTGTGCTAATTCAAATTCTGATGAGTCTGAATCTGCATCTACCCTCGCTGACTCTGTTGGAGTTGCTGCGTCGGGTTCCTTCACTTACATGGACCCTAGCCTTGATGAGACGTGGCAGGAAGATGACTGTCGGACTTTTGCTGATCTTTTCGTGTCTTTGCAGGAAAAGAAGCAACATAAATCAGACCTCATCTTGCTGCGACCTTCCATCTTGGGAGCCAAGATCAAAGGCCTACTAGACTGTGGGGCCACGCGGAACTTCATCTCCCCCAAGGCTGTCAGCAAGCTGCACTTGGATGGGAGATTGGTGAAGTTGCAGCAGCCACCGGAAGTCCGTATTGGGGACTCATCCACAGTTCAGATTACTACTGCTGTCAAGAACCTTGCAATGACTTGCTGATTCTGACTGTCGAGATTGACTGCGAGGCTGTACACTAACCGGTAGGGTTAGATTCGTAATTTTGTTTGGCTGAGGGCTAACCGAGAGACCTACCTGTGAGGAAATTCGTGAGGGACATATCTGTAAATATGGGAAAATATAGGCCCAACACTGATCCGAATTCCTACAGCTACCCTAGCTGCGCATCGCAGGCCCGGGCTACCCTAGGACATCAGTCAGTCCGGTCTAGGTCTAGTGTAGTCTATAGATAGGTTAGGCCCATCGGTTCAAGACTTTTGGCAGTTCATTTCTCGCGAAGCAGCGTTGGAGAAGCCAAGCAAGTTGGTGGCGGTGTTTGTCTGCAGGCAGCATCCTGAGACCTCGCCGTTGACAGCAGCCATAGCCGGCCCAGTCTGAGCCTGCCATGACTGGGGCATCCTCAGCGCATCTACCCCTGGGGTATTTGCGTCTGGTCGGGCTACATCGAGGCTCTACACTGTGTACTCGTGGGTGGTGGCAGCCATAGCTGCCTGTTCCTTCGTCAGAGTTGTCCATCGACACTAAAGACTTCATCGCAGGACCTGTTCTTCATCAGGGTGGTTGGCGCTGGCCTCTGGGAGGCCATTCTGATGGGCGCTACTAACTGGGTGTAGGATAGAGAGTGGGGTGTGAGTCCTGAGGGTGGCGAGATACTGGAACAAACTTTGTTACGATAATTGTTTGAGTTGGCTCATCATCAGTGCAGTTTCAATTGTTATCCTCGCAGGTGCTACTTGTGATTGGTTGTTGGGAGTTTGTCAGAGAGAGAGAAACACTGTGTGTCTTCTCCCCATCTGTGCATAGCTGTTTTCCGCTGCCTACTTCGATCTATGTGCAGTGTGGACTTTATCTCCTCTCCCCCTTCTCTTATTCATGTATGGGCGTGTATGAGATTGTCTGTGTGTGAGTGGCGGTAAAAATCGTCAGACAACCAAGTTCATAACAGTTGGTATCGGAGCAGGATTGGAATTGGAACACTGAGGGTTGAGCGCACTGAGGCATCTTCTTCATCTAGCGATATACTGGCGAGAGCTTCATGGCGATTCATCTTCCCCAGTACTGAGTGAGCAGGGAAGAAGACTTTCCGCGGTGGATTCAAGTGTTCGGTGCTTGCACTGAGCAAGCGCACTGAGCCTGTCAGGGCGCTTGCCAGGAAGTGGCAAGTTCAGGGCTAATTCGCGATAGCCAACCCTGAGGGTATGCGAATTACCCCAGAGTGGCGAATTACCCCTGAGGACATCAGGGAATCCTGTGCGGCATCATCCCTGGTTAGCGCTGGTAGAGATTGACACGGTATATCAATCTCCAGAAGAAATAACCCCATCTGGGGCTATTTTTAGCATCAGCGGCTACCGGGCATTGTGGCAAGATAATTTGGTGTTGGCATACTGGGCACCACAGGACCAGATCCAGTGCATCTGGATTGAGGGAGTGCAGCGCTACAGGATCCTGAGAAGGATCAACAAGTTTGAAGCATTTCTGTGCGTGGGATTGTCAAGAGGAATATCTGGAAGATATTGGCGAGATAAGGGTCACCATCTGCCATAGCCAGATCTTCATCAACACCTGCAAGATTCTCTGAAAGTGAGTCCGTTCCATGCACTTACCTGCATAGCGATCCAGATAGGATTATATTAGTCAATTATGATGGTCTATCTGTCTGTCAGTGACTGGATGTGAAAATCACAGATTGCATGACAGCCATAGCCATCTCTCCCCTACCTCTCTCTGCTCATTCCTAACCCTCTGTTGACTCTTTCTGATCCAAAATTGTTCTATGAATGCTATACTGCATTGTGATTGATCTGGGATACTCAAACTGTGTATTCTGTACTGGAAAGGTAGTGATACTGTGAATTGCAGTTTTGCGCCGAGTCTATTTATAGCCTGTGCTAACTAGGGTCAGTCAAACTTCAATTCTGTCCGTCAGAATTCCATCCTGTCAGTCCCCAGTGAATCGCAATCCAAAAATAGACACTACTGCAGAATCGCAGGATTGGATTGACAGTATTTCCCTGGATACAGTGACTACTGTACTTCGCCATACCCCAGGTTATGGCCGCCAGAGTCATCAGGGTCTAAATTGGAGTCTGAGCTAGGTTTTATGGTGTCTGTCTGAATCGCTTGTTATGGTTGATCTCTCTTGTCAGTACTAACCATCTTCTATCATTCTCACTGATGGCACTTGTTTTCTAGTGGACTCTGGAAATCTAGTGGGTCTTTGGAAGAGTATTGGAGGGACTTTACTAACTCCAGTGTGGTGCAGGGTCAGTAAAAGGAAATCGTGTGCATGATTTTGCTGGACGTACAGTCTGTCTGACACCTGACCCCAGAGACACCCTTCCAACCGAAACCGCTGATTGCCCATTCACCCGCCTATCCCAGCGTCTGAGTTTTGCAGCGATTCCAGGGTGTCTGGAGGAATCTGCATATCGCTGCATACTCTGGTTGCTGTATTTTATTTTTGGTTATTTTCTTTTAAGGGAAATGTCTGACCAGGGGGCTCAGCAGCAGCCACAGGTGGAAGTGGTGATGAAGGTGGAAGGTCAACAACCTTCAACCTCCACTCCTCCTTCTCCACCTCTGACTGCTACTCATCAAGAAAAAAAGGAGTTGCAAGAGCAGTTGCGGTGGCAACAGGACCGGCTTGCAGAGTTGGAACGTCAGGAGGCAGCTGAGCTAGAGGCTGCAACAGATTATTCCTGAAGGGAATATATTTTGCAGCAGGTACACAAGGTGCTCTCAGATGATCGTTGTGCACAGGTGACTAAGCACCTGGCAGAGATGATCATTCTGGAGCACAAGATCACCAGTTCCCACTTCACGAACTGGGATGATCGTTTTGATCGTTTGGAGCGTCGGGTTGACAACCTGGCCGCTCAGCAGTCTAAGATTCTGGATGCGATTCAGAACTTGACTGCTCAGTTGTCAGCCACCAAGCTGATTGCTCCTCAGCTCCCTCTGATAAAACCCAAACCTTCTCCTCCTTCTACCCCTCCTTCATGTCCCCCTGGATCAGTGCATTCTTCCCAGACACCACCTCAGTCCCAAAGAGCCTCAGGCAAAGCCACCTATGCTGCTGTTACTGCAGGAGATCAAAGAGGTCCCAAGATCCCTGCACCCAACAAGTTCAGGGGTGATGACCCCAAGACCGATGTTGGGGATTGGGCTGCAGGGACCAGAGCCTACTTGAGGGGCTTTGTTTGCCCAGAACAGACCAAGGTGGCAACCGTTCTTGGACTGCTGGAGGGGCCTGCACAAAAGTGGGCTACTTCAACCTCCAGCAATCTGCAACAAACTATGGAGGACTGGGCTTTGGGACTGGGAGTGGACAGGCTTCTGCAGGCCTTGGAATACCGCTTTGCAGACAAGGAGCGGGCAATGAAGGGAAGTAACGGACAAGCATCAGTTGTGACAATGAAGGGAAGTGACAGATCAACAATCTTTAAGATAGGGTAGTAAGTTAGCGTATGTTTTAACTACTTAAACGCGGACTCATAGTCTTTGTCCCATAACCAAGGTTTTTCCTTTTTCAACAATCTTCTCATGGGTGCAGCTATAAGGGCGAAGTTCCTTACGGACTTCCTAAAATAGTTGGCAGGTCTTAGGAAAGATCGCAACTAAGTGACAGTATTAGGTCTAGGCCAATCTCTGATTGCGGTGATCTTCTTCTCTTCGGGCCTTAGTCCCTCTTCATTTACTATGTGTCCAAGACATAGTACCTCAGACTTAGCAAACTCTGACTTCTTCGGATTTAACTTGTAGTCACCTTCTCTTTGTTTTCATAGAACCATCCGTAGGTGTTTCTCATGGTCTTCCAACGTCTTACTGTAGACGAGGATATCGTCGAGATACACCACTACGAATTGATTTAGCCACCGCCTTAACAATTCGTTCATTGATCTCTAAAAGGTTGTGGGGGCGTTAGTCAATGCAAAAGGCATGACAACAAACTCTTAGTGCCCATACCTTGTTTTGGACGCCGTCTTGTGTTGATCGTCAGGTGCCACCTCGATTTGGTGGTATCTTGCCTTCAAATCAATCTTACTGAGGTACTCGCAACCCTACAGTTGATTGAGAAGATCATTAATTGAAGGAAGGGGTTTCGCATTCTTGATAGTTATGGAATTCGGTCCTCGTTAGTCAATACACAATCGAAGTTCTCCTTCCTTTTTAGGTACAAATAACACAAGGGCACCGTAGGGAGAGGAACTTGGTTGAATCCAAACACTTTTCTGTAAGTTCTTGCAGTTGTTTTTATAGTTCTTCCTATACCCTCGTGGATATCCGGTAGATCGGTCCCTTGGGAATCTTACTTCCGAGAATGATTTCAATTGTGTGCTTTATAGCACGATCAGTTACTCTGATCGGTTCAGTCTACAAGTCCTCATATTCATTAAGTAGCTCATCAAAAGGAGGATAGGAT